GTGCCGAGTTTCCAATCGGAAGCCCTATTTCGTCGCTGGGGTCGTTGCCGTTGCTCTCGGTTCGTATTCCTCTGTTGCTGATTTTCCGTTGCAATGTTTTTTTTTACGGCTGGCTCGCAGGGCCTGACACCAACCCCCTAACTTTCCGGAGGACCAGGGTGCACAGTTGTGCTTAGAGTCCTTCACTGGCACTCGGACGTAGATCAGCCGCCCCTAACATGGGGAATAGCCGCTGTTGTGAGCCGTTCCCACCGGGGTTGGTTACCCGATCTTCCCTAAGGTTGCTCACAGTTCCCGGCCGGTACCATGGAGAGGTAGGGATAGGAGTTACTGGTAAGAGGCTAGTGATCTCAATGGGATCTGTATTGCGCATTACCCAGCATTTGCCGACCCATTCCGTGGGTGTGTGGTTATTCAAGAGAAATCGACGTTCAAAGTCATTGTTTACCCTTCTGACATGTTTCCCCTGATATTTTTTTTCTTCTTTGTTTTTGTGATTTTTAGCCGTAGGCTAGTTCATCACATTTGATAGTAGAAGGTCAGGCTTAGGGCCTGTCTCTAAGGAAACGTTTCAGTCTAACATTAACGTAACGTAAAACTGGCTCTGAGACAACATTTAAAAAAACTTAATGTAAAATTTGAGTTACATCGGGACTGTGGTGAGGAATGGATGCGCGAACAAGGTAGAGCTCCATCGTAAGAGACAGTGCCCCAGTCCGGCAGAGATACCCCGACGGCAGGAAAATAGGAAAGTGGAAGAACACGGACAGCGCAGCCAACGACGAGAGTGCTAGATTTGGTTGTACAGGTGGGCGTCCTTCAAGAAAGCAATCAGCGCAGCCAGCGTCGAGGGGTCGTTGCCAAGTAGCTCCCTGATGTTCTCTGGGAATCGGTGTTGTTCGCGTAGCCTCTGAAACTCTGGGCAGACACACAGCACGTGTTCCACCGAGGCAGGGATGCTGTAGATTGGAAAAACCTTGTGGAAGGGCCGGTTTCTTTGATCTTTCTCAGGAAAGTGGTCCGTGACTGAAACCATTCCTCCTGCCAGGCTTCCATGATAATATTCGCGATCCAACGCTTGACGTCTAGGAGTGGTACGTTTCTGGTGAAGTGGGGACCAGATGGACCGGATCCCGCCAGCCTGTCCGCAGCCTCATTTCCAGGAACACCGTAGTGCCCGGGAATCCACGTAAAAACGGTTGAGGGTGGGGCATATCGTGTAATGGCTTGTATCCAGTGGTGGCTCGGGGCTTCGGCTTCCAGCGCCTGGATGACGCTGTGTGAGTCCGTTAGCACAAGGATCGGTTGATCTGTAGGAGTGATGGCTGCATCAAGAATAGCAGCGGTTTCTGCGGAAAAAGCGGAACACTCCTCCGGTAGACTTTGACTTGTTGCGGAGTTTGGTCCTGCCACTCCGAGTCCCACTCCAGCCCGTGATCGCGATCCGTCCGTAAAGCGATGAACGTGCCCCGGATAGACCGACCCAAGAAGTTCTGCAACTGAACGCCTCAACGCTACAGAGTTATCTCCGGCTTGGAATCCTCTCTTAATCCGCTTATCTATTTTGATAACGTTAGATCGCCAACTTTTCTCTCCATACCAGTGGACCCTGGCCACCGGGGGGAGGTCAAGGTTGGCTGCAGTGCGGAGGGCTCTGTTCCCCTCGTTGAGGAGAAAGACCCTATCATTCCCGGATGAGGGCAGCGGCTTTCGTAGCAGTAGCTGCAGCAGATCGATAGCGGAAAGGGAGGACTCCGATTTCCGCACAAGCAGCGTCTGCAGGCGTGGAAGGTAGAAGGCCGGATACGATGCGTACGTAGGTATTGTATACCGAAACGAGGATGCGGATCAGCTTCTCGGTGGCTAAGCAGGTAATTTAAATGCTGTAGAGAAGTCGACTGTCGATAACAGCCCGGGCGACACGAAGGCGGATCTCGCGGTTACTGGAGCGGTGCGGGCGGGAGATTGTCCTGACGATGTTGATGCGGCTACGACAATTTTCTTTCACCGATCTGAAGTGCTGGTCGAAACTTAGAGTCCGATCCAGAACTACCCCCAAAACACGTACTGTTTTCTTGAGCGGAATTTGATGGTCCTGGATGGTGATCGGTGGTCCCCGAATCAGATGGCCCGAGTGGCAGATATGGCACCGTACACTATTTGGAGCGGAGAGCTGGAAACCAACAGAAAGCGCCCACCTGCTGACGGCGGAGACAGCTGCTTGGGAAATATTCCTGGTCCGTTTAGTCGTTCGTCCCGTTACGACGATGAGTATGTCATCGGCATAGACGATTACGTGCACGTTCTTGGGCAGTCGGCTGAACACCCCGTTCATTGCCACCAGGAATAGCGTAACCGCTATGACCCAAGCAGCACACTTTGATCGAAATAAGCTGCTGCAACTTGATTGTGACTGGAATAAGTGACACACAAGTAACCACAATTGTTCAGTGACATGTGTGCTGCTAGGGGACGGATCCCTGGGGCTGTAAGTTGTAAGCAATATGTGATATGTAAGTTGTAAGCAAGAGAATGTAATGATGTTTGTGCTATAAAATTCAATGATTCCAAGTAACATTACAAGTTTATAGGTTTAAAGGATTCTTCAAGACCAAATTATAGCCTACTAGACTAAAATAAAATCAAAATTGTTGCTTGGGAAGAGAATATATGATCTTTCCCGGTGCATTTTGGGTTTTCCCGCATTTTTCTCGGAAAATCTGAATTCCCGGTTTTTTCCCCGGATTTCAAGGTTGGATGGACACCCTGAATCCATCAAAACCGGCTACGTTTATGACCTTAAAATTTATATTCAATTATGGTAATATTCTTATACATTCTAATTCATTAAATTTGAAAAAATACATGAAAAGTTTTTCTTGTACGAACTTTTTTTATTTGAAATTGATCCTTCTTGGATTAACCTTTTTAAATTGTCTTATGACATAAGGTCATCGTAGAAAAAAAATGAAAAAAAAAATCGTACGTTGCAATGAAGAGAAATTAACATTTTATAAAAATATCAATTTTTTTCAGTGCACCGTAAAACGGGGTATCTTTGATAATGCGGGTAACTTTGATAGTATAATATAAAGAATAAATTTACTCGCTGTGCTTTTTCCAAATAAGAAACATTGGTTCCATATTGTAGCTTAGGGTATTTCCGCTAATATCGTATATAGTTTTTATATAGTATGTGTTACATATTTTACAAAAATATTAAAAAAAAATCATTTTCGTGCTTTTCACCTTTTTAAAAAAGCACTCAAACCATCATTTATGAAATGTATTTCCGATACAGCCATCACAAATTCAATGTTGTGTTATTATTGCTTATGAAGTTTTCTGATTATATACTCATTCAAAGCTTTATATTTAAAGAACTAAATTGTTTGAGTTTCACTCATTTTTTTTTCTACATTAATCGAGCATTATCAAAGTAACCCCAAATCAAAATAATGAAGTTCGGTCACAAAACTGAAGAAATAGTGCAAATGCTTTAATTTTCGTTCAACATATTACCAACGAATCTTGAATCCTTAGTACTTGTTTTAAAAATATAAAATTTGGAAAACATTCATTGCTGTAAAAAATATTTAGGATATACTTCAAAAAACTATCAATGTTTCCCCGTTTTACGGTATATTTTTTTCCTTTGAATTCCAATCAATTCTGTACTACTTCTTCTCAGACACAATTTTGATAGAATAAACGGTTTTAAACCAGTTTTTTTTTTAAGAATGCATATGTGAAAACACATACGCCCTTTTCGAAAATTAGTTTTGAGTCAAAATGGTCTCAGGATCTGTGAAAAATAATAATCTCCCATACTAAAGACATGTTGCAAGTTTCATCCAAATCGGAGGGACTCGTGCCAAGTCGTTTGCTCATTTGACAGAGAATTGCTCTAAGCCGAAATAAAATGCGATATTTTTCTAAAGCAGTTTTCTACTGAACAACAAATGAGATAGGGTAAATGACGGCTTCGGAAATGCCTTATTCTATTATTGTCAGGGGGTAAACAACATTCTGGAGAGCTCTATTTTGGCATGTGGATACATTGTGTTCCAAAGCATCTATTGGCCAAATTTGAGTGCTTTGTTTACCCTCTGACGATAATAGGTTAAGGTATTGCCGAAGCCGACATTTCCCCTACTTCTTGAATTAAAGGTGAGTTGAAAAACTCAATTTCGATGTATTTCTTGAGACTATTTTCACCATCTCAATCCAACTTTTTGGTGATCCTCACTGATGACGCCTTCTGAGGCTGATTCTTAGTTGTCTCATAAAAAAAATTATGTTGTCAAAAAAATGGAATCAACCATTGGATTCTTTTGAGTGTACCGTACCAACTACCAACTTTCAAATATTGCATTTATTAAGTAATTAATTTCATACGTCTCTCATCAATGAATGTTTCCATTCGGGATCGCTGACTGCCAGGTAGTGCAAGATGGATGAAGGAAAATATTACCTGGAACTTGAAAATAAATGAGAGAGAAAAAAAATGCAAACCAACTTCTTTGTTTTCCCATATTTTTCTGCTCCGAGAATGGTATTTTCATCAACTGTTGGAAATAATAATTTTTCATTGTAACTCAAATCGCGAAAAATGGGGTCAGATTTCTCATGGCATTCTAAGAATGCAATATTGTTAAGTGCAGAAGTCAATGTCAAATAATCGAAGATGCAATGGAGCACCAGGCTACTAGATTGATTACAATTGAATTTCCTTTTATTTTTCGCATGAAAATTATGATATTTAATTTATATGAAAATCTGCACGTAACTCCCCAAATTCCACCATAACTCCTATAGTCTGCACGATTCCCTCTACCTTGAATGTTGCTCGAACAAAAACTCCCTCGAAAAAATTGGATCGAAAGCATGCTGCATGGAATTCGCTTCATCAGCGAAGTAAAATTCCTTCAACAAGTTCAAAAATTTCAATTTCGCTCTTTCCCTTGGATTGCGCCCACCCACAACGACAACGATTTCAGTCCGGCGGAACGGTCAGCGGTGGTCCGGCCTGTGGCTACCCGGCCAGCGTTGTCAGTGACAGTGCCAGCGATCCCAAGTACCACCACTTTGCCAAAAAGCCACTGCAAAATGGTGGCCCACAGGGCGGGGGCGGTCATCCATCCACCACCGCCGCCAACAGCAACGGGTTCGATTTCAGTAGGAAAAACTCTCTCAACGGTAAGACCGAAGCCAAAGGAACGGGGATCCGGTCGTCCAGCTTAGAACTGATACTAACACCTATCATTCAGAGTAGACGGTAAGTAGCAGCACACCAGATTGGTGATGGACATTTCCGTTTCCTTTCACTTAATGTTACCCACCGGAATTTTGCAATCCTCTTTCAATTCAAATTTAGTCCATGTAGATTCATCACATCTCCACCATAAGCCGTAAGCTCCGCCGGAAAACATCCTAATAAAATAACAGCTTAACTTTCAGAGCTCATCACCATACACACACACACACACACACAGGCAATTATCCCGTCGTCGACTTTGCATAATAAGCACCGAGGGAATGATTAAAGCGAATAATAACGACGCCTTTGCCTTGGCAACCTCTTGGAATCCAGGCCAGGAAAAAAATATATGTAGATTATGTGTAATATCCCAACTCCAGAAAGCATTCTCACACCCGCCGCACACTTTTAGGCGCTGATTGCCAGTCCCTCTCGAGCGACCGGGTGTGGGTGGAAATTCAATGTTTGACTACATATTTGCCTTTTCCTCACAATATTGCTTTCACTGGAAACGACGTCAAAATTTCGCTGCGGCGAATCTACTTTGATCCTTTTCTGCCAGAAGTATAATAAGTACCCACCGTCGGAAAAGTGGCGGTGGAGCGGATTTCCCATCCCATCGTCACCCATTTTAAAACCGACACAGCTCATTAGACAAAATGTTTACCGATAAAAACCTATTCGGCATAAGTGAACCGTGCATCGTTTTAGCTCCTCTTCTAAATTGCTGTTCAGCTAGTTTGCCGGCTTCTGTTCCGTGGAGCGAACCGGGGAAAACTTTTCCCGAAATGATCCCGACTTCAAAGCACACACTGCTTCTAATCCATTGTAACAACAGCAGTCTAACGACTGCAGAGACTGCCGGCGACGGAAAACTGAGGTCCTCCCGATTGTCTAATACCGACGCAAGGTCGTCGTCGTCGTCGTCGTCATCATCGTGTGCTTCATGTTGGGATGGAGCTTGGATTTTATTAGCACCCACGCAGGACACCAATGGCACATAAGTGGGGGTGAATGGACATGAAAAGGCGACTGGCGAAGTTTCCGTTTATCGTGGGAGTCGTGGGACTATCGCCCGACTAACTGACGGACGTGGGGTCGGGTCAAATGATAACGATGACGTGCCTGGATGTCTGTCGAAGAATATTGAATAACCCAGATTAGTACACCTATCTGTGAACAATGTTTCTACCTTCATCTTCTACAATGAATAGAACGGGATGAAGAAATTTCTAGTTGGTGCTGGATCGGGATAAAATGTTGCGCTCAAAACTGGTGATGTGCTTTTATGGAAGATTCATCTCGCTTCTATTGAACACAGTGGATCAATCTTGTCAAATGAAGAATTGCGCTCCATCTAGACTAGGTATCTACAACATTCAAAGGCATTTAGAAATTTGTGGATGATAATTTTCATTAGGTGGCCTCGAAGCGAAAACCACCAAAAATACAGCATTCTTGAAGATCCTAACTGAAAATATTATCTTTTTAAAAATAGAATATGTGTTGGCGCTCGATTTCGGGAATGCGATGTAAATAAACACCTCCTTGATAGCATGCGTTTAGATACAGCTTCAAAGCTGAAATGTATTGTGTTTTTTAGTTTCAATCTTATAATTAATGGTGGCAATACCTACATTTTTGTGTTTTCCCTGGTTGCGCAGAGTTTGCAATACATAGGTTATCTATCCTATTTCGAGTGCTGTTTTTAATAAACAAGTTTTAGTCTAGATTACACCTTTATCAAAATTCACACATACCGTTCTATTCTGCTCCAATTATCCACACTTCAAATTAGTTCTCGCTTCAATTCACTTAAGTATTTAATTTAATTATCCAAATTACACTCTTCTATACTGACCCTACTAGATCTTTTATCCAATTGTTCTGATAGTTTCTTCGTTTTCCTCTTCAGCTCAATTTTCTCATTCTCCCTTTTTCTTCCGTCCAAATTTTGACATTTTATGCTTTGCTGTCATATCTGTCATGCTGCTAACCGAGTCACGCAAAGGGCGGAACCGGTACTCACTTGACAGCCCGTGACGACTGCCCAGTGGGTTCGCCAACATCCCCCCGCCCGTGCAGTTCCGGTTCGCCCGAGACATACACTTCCGGTCCTCCTGATGCATCAAGGACGTCCAGCAGAGCCAGCTTGGTGGCAGGTCGGCTGATCGTTCCTCTTGACGTGTACACCACGGCCCGTCGAACTTGCCCGTCCTTTGCCTTCACAGCATCCATGATCCGTCCTCGAGTCCATCCGTTACGCTTGCCTTCATTGTCTACCACCACCAGGTCACCGGGTTTCAACGGTTTCACCGGCTTGAACCATTTGGTGCGCCGTGTCAACGTGAGCAGATATTCGTGAATCCAGCGACTCCAAAACGTGTCGATCAGATGCTGCGCCAGTTTCCAGCTATCCCTCAGAGTTGCGGATTCTTCCGCCAAATTCCGAAGAGGCTGGTTCACGCCTTTCATTCCGTAGAGTAGGAAGTGGTTAGGCGTAAGTGCTTCTTGTTCTGCGTGATCTAGAGGAATGTACGTGAGTGGTCTGGAGTTTACTATCGATTCAGCTTCGAGCACTACAGTCTCTAGGACCTCATCGCTGGGATGGTATGGATGCTCTGCTAACGCTGCCATGGCTGCCTTCACCGATCTTACCATGCGCTCCCATGGTCCTCCCATGTGGGGCGCCAGTGGTGGATTGAAGAACCATCTCGTGTCTGAATTCGTAAACGTTGCTGCACAGTGTTCGTAGATTACTCGGAGTTGCTCTTGCAACAAGTTGTTTGCTCCGACGAAATTAGTCCGAGTAAAACGTCGCTGGTGAACCTCTGCGCGCCACGAATCTTCTTATGGCCATTACGCACGACTGGGTAGACTGGCTGTGTACAACTTCCAGGTGCACCGCTCTGACTGACAGGCATGTGAACAGCGCGATCCATCGCTTTACCAGGCTGCGACCCTGTTTCACGAAAGTTGGTCCGAAATAATCTACCCCAGTGTGCGTAAATGGGCGTATGTACGCGGTTAACCGAATTTCTGGAAGTGGTGCCATGATCGGAGTCTGCGGTGCTGCGTTTCTAATTTTACAGAATTGGCATTGCTTCGCGATTTTTGCTACTACTACGCGTAGTTGTGGAATCCAGTACCACTGCCTGATCTCGTTCACGACAGTCTCGTGGTTTCCATGCAGAAAACGAACGTGGTAGCTTTTCACGACCAACTTGGTCACCCGATTATCCTTTGGAAGAAAGATTGGGTACCTTGCATTTAATGTCATCATAGGTGCCGCTGTAATTCGGCTATTAATTCTGAGGACACCGTCATCGTCTAGCATAGGAGACATTCGGTAAAGCGCGCATTTTCTATCAATCTGCTTCGGTTCCGCTTCTGGATGTGTTTTGTTGTATATGAGCGTTGCATACTCGTCCGAATACTCCTGCATCTGCACCTGTCGCCAAATCAGTACTTCCGCGTTCTTCAATTCTTCTTGCGTCAAATGACCCTCCGGTTTTAGTCCCCGGAATCTTTTGATCGCCCTGATTACGTACCCGGCTGCTCGATGAAGCCTAGACCATCTAGAAAACGGTTCTACATTTATTACCGGCTGTGGCATGGTTCGATGATGAAGAAAGACGGTGCGGAGATCCTCCTCCGTGGTAAACTCCTTCCTTGTTTCTGTCTGCCAGGTTTCATCTGATTCACTCAAAAAATTCGGTCCGGTGTACCACCAGTCCTGTGGATTGAAGCTGGGTCCGTCTCCCCATGTCGTGGCTTGGTCTGCTACATTAACCTTGGATGGAACTTTTCGCCACTCATCTACGGTAGTTGTGGACAGTATCTCTCCAACCCGGAAGCCAACGAACTGATGGTAGCGTCGAGTTTCGGATCTCAGCCATGCCAGGACTGTCGAAGAGTCAGACCACAGATATCTAGCAGCCACTGGTATTGCCAACGCCTTGCAGATACTATCCAACAGTCGGGAACCGATTTGGGCTGCTTGTAACTCCAGCCGTGGAATTGAGATGAGCTTCAACGGCGCTACTTTTGTCTTCGCTGTTATCAGTGTGCATCGAGGTGCTCCGTCGAAAAAGCTACGGAGGTACGCAACGCAAGCGTACGCATTTTCACTCGCATCCACGAAGACGTGTATTTGAAAATCCTGCGGTGCGGCACTGGTCTTGGAAAAAAGGCATCTTGGGACGCGAACTTCGTTAATTTTTGTTAGTAGTCCGCTCCACTTGCGCCAGTCTTCTAGTATTTCACATTTGATCGAATCGTCCCACAGCGATCCAGTCCTCCAAATTCTCTGCATGATCATCTTTCCATGCACAGAGAAATGCGCCACTAATCCTAACGGATCGAAAAGTGACATGATCGTTCGTAGCACTTGACGTTTGGTAGGTGCTTCCTGACTTTCAACGATGCTTCGTACTTCTTCCTTCAAGCTGTTGTCAAAGCTGAAGACATCCTCCGACGGTCTCCACACCATTCCAAGTACTCTTTCGACCTTCGATTCAATATTCATTGACTTCTCCTGGACTTTGCTGCTTTCACCGATGAGTTCTAGCACCTCGGTGGAATTCGATACGAAGTTCCGAATTTCCATGCCAGCCATGGAGTGTACGTATTTAACGTCTTCGATCAGTCTCACCGCTTCTTCAACCGTATTCACACTATCGAGATAGTCATCTACGTAGTGATTATCGATGATAACTTTCGCAGCCTCGGGAAACTGCTCCGCATACTCCTCTGCATTCTTGTTTTTTAGGTACTGTGCGATACACGGTGAGCATGCCGCTCCAAACGTAGCTACATCCATAACGAATATCTGTGGTGTCTGTCCCGGTCGTTCCCGAAAAACGAATCTCTGGGTTTGCTTATCCCTCTTCATGATCAGGAACTGGTGGAACATTTCCCTTATGTCTCCACTGAAAGCTACACGCTTCTGTCTGAAGCGCAATACTACGTTAGGTAGGGCGGTCAGCATATCCGGCCCTTTCAACATCATGTCGTTG